CATTTAAATCTCCATGCTGATGAAATCACAGAATCTTCTCATATTTTTGCAATCAAAATAACAACAGCGACGTATCCTGCTTAGCAGGAACATGGCAAAATTGAATACAGGAGGAATTCAGCTGAAATGCCCAACTGTTTAAGCAAAGTAGTATAAATTAACATGTTTAGGCAGGGCATGACTAATAGTTGAGGTTGATGTCTAAGTGGACAAAATGCTTTTCCACAAGGTGCCCCTGGGTATTTGTTGATGGGGACATAGTACTAGAGTAGATACGCAATAGACCTGACTCTGAATGATGTTACTTATGTTCCTTACTTAGAAAAAGAAATAAAATAGATAGTTCTACCAGAAAAGTTAAAAAAAAATGTGAATATGGAGGGACATCAAAGTTTACCCAGTTACACTGGGGTGACTCTGCTTTATACTTGCTGCAGCTGGGGATCTAATGTGTTCTAGAATAATCTGAAAAGTGTTCCTCCTGATTATTTGCTATATCACCATGAGAATTATATCCCCAATTGCTAATTTTAATGTGCTTGGCCAATTGAACCTATACTGTTGTAATGAGATTTATTGGATTTGTTGAGTAATAAAAACAAAAGTACAACTCTACTAAAAGCTGACGTTTGTAGGGGCTTTAAAATTTGCAAAGTGCTTTAAACACAAATAAGCATCCTTAACTGCTTTGTAAGCATTTAGCAAGTTATGTTCAGTGTCAGTACTTTTCAAAGGCTTTTTAAGGTTTTGTAGATTTAAATAGTTTGGAATCTCAACTTCTTGCATAGAGCCACAGGTCTACAACTGCAAAGATCTATAGAGACTATCTAGTCCAAACCCTTCATTTTACAGATAAAGAAACTGAGTCCCAGAGGGCTTAGACTTGTCCAAGGTCACACAAGGAGTAAGTATCAGAGTTAAGTTATTAAGTCGTATCTTCTGCCTCCAAATCCATTGCTCTTTTCACTAAACTGCATTGCCTCTTATGGGATATGGCATAGAGTGTGCAAGACAAAGTGATGTTGTCATTCTCAGAAAGAAGGATAAGTTCCCTCTGTAGCCCTTGCCAATTTGGTATCATTTTTAGAGAGAAGGAGGGTTTATGAAGTGGCGATGTTGGGGTGTCAAGGAGTAGGAAGGCTGCAGGGATATTTTTCAGGTATCATGGAAGGCTCTCAGTTTGTGAATAATGTAGAGACAAAGACAATTCAGTGTGGCTGTGAAGATGAGGGGAGAATGCATTGATTGGTGGGTTACAGAAGAGTCAATGTTGAAGAAGAGTAACTAGGGGTAGGGTATTGAGTTATGGCAGAGGACTGGTCTTCATTATCTTTTTGGAGTGTGGTGGAATAATTGATATTGGTATTTGTTAGACCTTGTCTTATTGTGATAATAAAAAAACAGGACTATAAGATCCAGTTCTAGTACTACCTTTCTTACTTGTATCAGCTGAAATTGCCCCTAGTTTATTCTATAGAGTAGTGTATCACCACTTGCAACATTAGGTATTTGTAACTTGAGCAACCTAATGCTAAGGGCACCTAATTTTGGGCAAGGTCTATAGATAATAGAAGAAGTACAAGGTTATAGTATATTTTGGCACCAAGGTACTTCATCCCTCATTCTCTCCTTCTGTCAAACTCCCAGGTTTCTTGTGGTACTCCAAAGTTTTGGAGGATATAATTTGGAAACCAATAAACTAGATTATGGACACCAACTTGACACAGACATGTTATTGTCCCTGGATTCAGATGCAAGTAGTTTACCAGAGCATTCAATCCTTGAAGAATGGAGAGAGAGTGAGTACTTTTCCATTGCTATGCAAAAAATGGTGTAGATTTGTATTGTGTAGTGTCACAGTGCAGAACTGAGGCCACAAGGTAGAACTATAAGCAACCATCATGTGATGGGAAGAGTTTGGGATTTGGAATTAGAAGAAATGGTAAAACAAGAAGACTTGGGTTTGAACCCTACAACTACTCTGAACAAGTCATGTAACCTCTCTGAGACTTTTCCCCCTCATCTGTTAAGTGAGGGAATAGGATTAAAGGGGCTCAAAATTCTACTTCTATGCTTCTATAAAATTCTTGGGAAGTAGATTTTTGCTCATTGTGAAGAAGTCTTTAACAATTACAAATGTTCCCAACTGAAAATAGAGTTTTGGAAGTATTGAGCATTCTGCATGGGAAGTGTTCAAGAAAACATGGGATGACTATCTGTCAATGATATTTTAGAGGTTATTCTTGCATTGGGTAGTAGGTAGGACTCAATGACTATTTTTTAGTATTTTCCAATTATGTGATCCTTAAAGGGGAAGCTAGATGGAATAGTAGATTGAATACTGAACTTGGAGTAAGGAAGATGAGTTGAAATCCTGCCTCAAACACTAATTGTTGTTGTTGATCAGATCTTTTCAATCTTGTCCAGCCACTTCCTTCTTCGGCTCATTTTACAAATGAGGAAACCAAGGTTAAGTGATTTGCCTATGGTTACAATGATAGTAGGTATCTGAGGCCAGATTTGAACTCAGCAAGTTGTGTCTTCCTAACTCCAGGCCTTGTACTCTATCCACTGTGCCACCTAGCTGCTCCAGACACTTATTAGCTCTGTCTATTTGGGTAAATTACTTAACCTCTTTGTGCTTCAGTTTCTTTCTCTGTAAAATGGGGCAAATAATAGCACATACCTCCCAAAGTTGTTATGAGGCTCAACTGAAATGATTTTATATATATATATATATATACACACACATACACACATATATGCATATATATAGATCTATAACTAATAATTTACACATATATAATCATATATATACATATATGCATATATACATACCTATATATATATATAAAATCAGTTCACAAACCTTTTAAAAATTCAGAGAAAAATTGACTTTAGTTGTTATAACTTTACTGAAAAGCTTCCTATTTCCCAACAAAGTACAGGAAAATGATTATACTTTCATCTAGTAGGAAAAGAAATAATCTAAAATGGTCTGAACTTGACTTTTAGGACTCTAGGATTCAAGGTGTTTCCAGACATTGCTTTGCTTGATTCTTCCACTCCTAAAGTTACCTTTGAAGTCCATGATGGTCATTGTCACACAACCTGTTTGGGTCAGTGAAGCCACGTGATGTTAAATGACTTCATGCCAATGACTTAATGAAGATCATATCCTCCAAAGCCACAGAGTATTTATCTTTTTGATATTCCCCTGAGTATTCAAAATTCATACACCTGTTTTTTTTTGATCACCTACTGTTCTGCTCTATCCAAAGCCTAAGGCAGTATAAACTATTAAAAAGGTGAAAATGTTTAGTACAAATCCTTGTCTTAATAATTAAAAGACTCTTTCACTTTTTCTCTTAGCACAAAGAACCTTTGATAAGATTTTTTTAATCTGTAGAGGGAAATAAATCAAGGGTTCAAGGGTGTTTTGGCATCTAATTGTTATGGTTCTGGTTTAAGGAAATTACACGAAGGGGAAGACTATTGACTGAAATTGAAGCGTTCTAATGTTCAAAGGAATGACTTAGAGGAAGATGGTAAATACTTGGAATTATTCATTATCTTCCAAATAGCTTGCATACTGAAGCCCATAATTTTATCTCCCTTGCTGGGCTGTTAATATGATTCAAAAGAATAAGCTCAAGGGACTCACTGATCTGAGGCTAAGGCTGAATTTCTGGACTTGGAGCTCACTCTCCTCCCCTCCTTTTTTTTTGAAGGAACAACTGCTTGGATATTTAGACATAAGGTAAAGTCATTTCTATTAAGGAAAAGAGTTTGGAGGCAGAGAAAGGAGAAATGGATGTGATTACCCTCTTGGAGCAAGGAGCTTGAATAGCATTTTCATTTAATTTTACTCTAAAGGAGCAAACTGCACTGTTTGTGAAGGAGATCCAAACTCAGCAGTGAATGTTAACAGAGAACCAACTTTTCTTGTTCATCTTGGACATGAGGAACTCAGGTTTGCAGGAAAGGCAGAGGAACACCCAGAGTTATTATTAGACATTCTGGTACCCAGAACAAGTGATATGAAAGGAACCCTAACATGACCTTTAAAAATTTTATTTTCCATTTTTATTACTATCTTTAATTTTTTATATACAATATGACCTGTCCCTGTCCCACTCAGAGAGTGATTGCTTATGACAAAAATTAAAAAAGGAAAAGAAAAAAAACATTTCAGCAAAACTAACCAAGCCCAACAGTAAGTGCAGTATTCCATAGCCATAGTTCACCTCCCTCTGAAAAGAAGTTAGGCTCCTTATGATAGCTCTTCTATAGGCTTTGGCTTACTCATCAAGTGACCCTTTAAGAAAGGGGAAGGGAAGGGGAGAGGTCTTGTCTAAGGAGACTTGAAACTCAAGACATAAAGCATTTTGGAAGAAAAAATCCTAGGGCACTGGTCTTGTGGTTGATAGACTGTAGTGCACCAGAGCTGCTACTGGGGAGGCCTCGGAGCAGGGAGAAGGAGATTAGGCAAGGTCTAGAAGAGCCTCAGCTGGGGTGAGGCCTCTGGGAGAAAGAAGTGAAACTTGACAGCTTTCTACTTTTTATTTTACTTTTATTTACTTCTCTAGGTAACTGTTGTCTCCTCGCTCCCTAGCTTCCCTCTATCACACTGGATATGTTTGACCCTGGGTAAGTTATTTAACCTGAAATTGCCTCAGGCTACTCCCTAAGACCCTAAGACCATAAGTTGCTGAGAAAGTGTTGATATTAATTGGTGAGGAAGCTCCTTCTGACACTAAGAAATTATAGGTTTAGTTAAAAATAAATGTGTGTGTGTGTGTGTGTGTGTGAGTGTGTGTGTGTACAATTTAGAGAGAGAGAGAATAGCAGAGAAAAGAGAAGGGAAGGGGGAAGGAAAGGGAGAAGGAGAGAGCAATCGGTTGTTTCTGTCTGCTGAAGGCCTGCATCCTCTAAATTTTGGCACCTCTGATGAAAAGTTCTGTTTGCTCCACCCTAGTTAAAGATTCAAATATACCTACCTTTTCTAGCAGTTGTCGAAGTTGCCTGCTTTTTGCATCCCGGGAACACAGGTTCTGTTCTGGTGCAACCACTGTGCAAATGCATCGTCCGTCAGGATCTTGGGCTGAACTATAAACTTGCCACCCTTCTTTTGGGCTAATCTGAGTCTGGGAAAACCAAGGACAAGCACAAGAAACACAGAACTCAGTTGAGAGGATAAAGAGAGGACAAAGGTTCCAAAGAGTAATCAAAGCCTAAATTGCCATTCTTTGTATCAGGCAGAATTGGTATAACAACTTTGTCAAGAGCTCAGAAACATTTTGCTCCGAACATAAGTCGCTCAAAGTTTGGATTTTCCCTTTTGAACTTAGAATTGCCATTTAACATAGTACACACTGTTTATTGATCCTAGAGAATTCCCTAGTGATTTTTGTCGTATCTTTGATACTTCAATGAATTTTTGGAAGCTTCTGACAAAAGAAGTCTCTAAAACTTGCTGAATCAAACAAGCCCATACACCATCAGTACCTTTACACAAGATTTGTCAGCCAAGATTTTTCAAAGCATATAGCAATTAATAGCAATTATTTTCTGAGTCGTGTAAATGTATGAAATACCCTACAGTCCTCACATCTTTGCCTAGAGCTTCCAGTTCCAATGAAAGTGTGTTTTGTTTTGTCTTGTCTTGATTTTCCTCCTTAAGCTAGATAGACAGCACCGGCTGAGAATCTGGGATCACCTGGGTTTTTGTTACATCAATGAAATCACAGGCCTACTTCCTATCGATCTCCTCTGTTTTTGTCTTACCTTCATTTACCGATTTATGCCTTTCCCCTCCTCTTCCCAGGGAACTAAGCTTTATAACAAAGAGTAAAAAAAGAAAGGGGGTGGCAAGATAGTTGATCAAAAATAATGAACACATCAATCTTGTCTGATAGTATATTCGATATTTGCTTCAGTAACTCCCCATTGCCAACAAACAAAGTCCAAAATCCTTGCCTTTCTGTTCATAGCTCCTCCACAACTTAGCTCTATATAACTTTCCACTTCTTTTATTTTCTACTAACCCCATAAAGAACCCCCATGTATTAAATACCAAACTGGTATACTCATTGTTCCTATGTGCATCGCTTTCTCTGGACTTCAGCTAACGATCTTTCTTGTTTTTAAAATGCCTCCCTAACCTTTAGCTGCCCTCCTTTCCTCATTTGAATCCTTACTTTTTTTGAAGGCTCAGCTCAAGTCCCTCCTGCCCCAGGAAGCCTTACTTAATCACCCAGTCCTCAATTTCTCTCGTATTTATTGGCTGTACCACTCATTTGGCCCTTGTACTAACTTGTATTCAAACATTTAATCAATAAGCATTAAGCCCATAGAGCAGATGATGTAATGAAAAAGTGAACTGGTTCTTGACCTCAGTGAGCTTATATTATAATGAGACAAAAACATGTGCATATATAAGTACAGACAGAATATATACAGAAAATGAATAGTAGGTAGTTTGAGAGGGAAGGCACTAGAAGCTGGAGGATCAGGGAAAACTTCATGTGAAAGAGAACACTTGAATTGAGCATTGAAGGGCACTAGGAGTTACAAGAAGAGGAAGCGAAGAGGAATAGAATCCCAGGCATGGAGGACAGAAAGAAGATGGAGTACTGTGTGTAAGGAACAAGTGGGCCAATATGCATAGACTGTAGAATTTGTGGGGAGAGTAATATGGAGGAAAATACTGATCCTTTTATATAAATGGCTAATCTTCCATAATGTAGTTGTAAATCCCTTAAAGGATAGGGGCCTAGCTTACACCTTATTGTTTCTGGAATACACAGCCCTATTCCTTAGGCATGATTGAGGAATAAGATTGTATCCCATGTACTTAGTCCACACCTTTCATCATCATAGATGGGTACCTTAAAATATTTATTGAATTGAATTTGTTCAGTTGATGATGATGATGATGACAATGACATTCTGATGTTAGATACCCTAGTGGAGTATGTGAATAGTCATTTTATTCAACATGTGGTCACTTTCATGTATTGGCTTACCTAGGGTCCTAGTTAATATTATAGGGGTTTTTTTTGTTATTTGTTTTTGACTCTGGACTCACAGTTAAAGTAGAACTTTATTTCTTCCTGAACTTAAATATAAAATGATGCCTTATGTTACTAATTCTTTAAGAGTAAAAATATTATGCTTTCATAGTCCATAAAATCTATGACAGTGATGTTTGCATGACAACTTTTTGGTGTTGATATGTGTGTGTGGGAAGATGGAAATTTCTTCCACCCAGCTCTGGAGCCTTTCAATTTTTTTTTGGTGGGGTGTGTGTGGGGTGGGGTAGTGGTGGTAGAAATTGACATACCCTGAAATAATATCCTTATAATTCTAAAAACCTAATTTTTTCACTCAAAAAACAAAACAAAGCAACATCAACAACAAAACCAAAAAGCCTCAGACAGCCATCTGTGTATTTCAAGTATATAGTTGTTTGGGATTGTGAAGACTCAACATCTAGATGACATTTCACTTTTCATTTGGATGTTTTGGTTTCCAATGGACATAGCCACTATTTCTGTGCCTTTCTCATGTAGTCCTAAAACACACAGTCATTTGGACATAATGGATGGATGGATGATAAAATGAACATAATGTTGAGTTACCTCCAACTGGAAAAAAATGCATTATTTTACTTTTGCATCTGTCTGAGTTTCTCCCTTTTTGCCTCTTGGAGGAGAACCCATTTAAATGATTTGAATATATTATAAGTTAAGCACTCATGCTGACTAGCTATTATAGAGACATATAAAGGCTATATTTCTGTTTTCATAAATTTTAATGAATTCCATTTGTTATATGAGGCAGTTTGAGAAAGTAGAAAGGGTAATAGACAGAAAGTATGGTTCCAAATTCTAGTTTCACCATTTCTAGCTTTGTGATCTTGGTTTAAAAAATCCATCATAGCCTTAAAATTAGAATTTAGGTTATCTAGCTCTCAGCTTATTATAACAATCAGATTACACAGCCAGTTCATTTGTTTATTTATTATTTGCCTACTGGGCATATAGAATAACTTTGTCACCACATATACATATCAACTATTATGATTATTATATTATGATGCATGTCAGAGCAATATAAACCACACACAAATATTGGGCTCAGTTTATAGAATCACAGAACCATTGTTGGAAAGGAACCTCAGAGGTCATTTGGTCTATTTTTTACTTAAAGCATGAATCACCTGCTCAATATTACCAGCAAATGGTTATCAACCTTCCTCTTGATATCCAGTGACAGGAAATGCACCATCTTTTGAGGTAGCCCATTCCATTTTTTGATAGCTCTAATTGTTAGAAAACATCCCCTTATATTTAGTCAATACTTGCCTCTCAGTAATTACCACACACTGATCCCAGTTTTTGCCTTCTGGGACCAAGAAGAACAGGTTTAATATCTCACATAAGTCAAGCCATGACAATAAATGCTTATCAAGCATGTGTTATGTGCCAGGCACTGTGCTAAGCACTAATCACCTTGCAAACATTATTTTATCACTTTTAGTTCTAGTTTCATCTTAAAATCTATAATATGTAAACTGTTCTCTATAGTGTCAAAGGCCATGAGCCAGAAATTGTTAAAAGACTTTTTCTTATTTTCAAATTATGGACTCAGTAATAGTATATCCAGACATATAATGAAATTATCACACAGATGTAATTAACATATCTATAGATTAAGATGTACAAATACATACATATATGTATCTATATGTAGATACATATATATAACATATAAATACACACACAAATAAGCATCTTCTCTACTGATAAAGAAGCCTAATCTTATAATTCTTTCCCACCTTGTTTTTCATGATCAATTTTCTATTGCTTAATTTAAAGAGAGAGAAAAGGATATGAAAAAATAGTCACACTGTAGGCATAAAACTGGTTTTATAGTGTAGTTTCAATAGGGTAATTGAAAAAATGTCTCAGTAGAAATACATTTACTTCTGTAAATGTATATTAATATAGTCTACTGAGGCAAACATAGGAATGATCATTTTTCTTTGAATAAAAAAACATATTAAGAGCTTACTATGTGCTAAGTATGGTGTACCTTTGGATACAGACACAAAAAAGACAGATAATGCACTCAAGGAGATTAGATTATAATAGGAAAAGTGGAAGAGTGGCTAGGAAAAGCAGTTTTAGTCTGAGGAACACCGGAATTGTGAGTTGATATATAGGGCAGTAAATTGATATTCACTTTCTAGAAGCAATGATACTATTGATTTCTTTATTGTTTCAAGAGCAAGAAAAAATGGCTCATATGCAACAGGAAACAGATGTCAAGGTGGCCTGGAGGGCTGACTGGAGTGAATGTGAAGGTGGAGCATCTTCTGGAGCCTAGGGCCTCCTTGTATGTAGAGTACGCTAAGTAGACTAGCATATACTCAGTCAAGGCAGTTGGGTCTTAGGAAGGGATCTTCAAAGATGAATGAGAACAGAAGCATGGATTCTGGAGGTACAGGATACAGAGGTTTGGTATATAGGGCATTAGCTCATGGAGGGTAAAGAAGAACAGCAGGAGCACTTAGATGATAATATGGCCTGAGTATATGGCTATGTGCCTGATAGCAATATGAGGGTGTGGATAGCTTTCCCTATGATTAGATAAAATATTTCAAAAACCTCAGAAACAATTACCAGTTATGTGAATAGATTTTTTTTTGTGAGGAGGGGATAAGAATCACCTAATTATAAAAATACTGGTGAGTCCACTTTGCAACCATGAATGCCAATGCTCACTTGCCAAGTTTTATTTCCTTTAGCACATGGCATATTATCCCAAGGGAAAATGGCAGTCTCTCTTGAGATTTGAGGGTAATTAGAAAAGTGAAAGGTAAACAATGTTCACATTCATTAATAATTCTCTCAAGTGTCTGCTGAAGAAAGTAATGACCTCATTGGTTCTTCCAAATATCCAACTGTAAAAAGTAATTAGTGAAAGCAATGGCCCTTCCTCTAGTTAGGTGAATGATCTAAACCAGGTGCCTGCAAATTATGGTCCCCCTGGCAATTGTTTGCCAATCTCTAGTCTGGACTAGACCATTAAAAGAAATCCTTTCTACCAAGGGAAAAAAAAAAAACTGAGAGAGACAAAAGTAGTAGGAAAGAAAGTACCTGACAATGCTGTGGTCTTTGCGGAAGGGATAGGACTAGGAGTCACCAATAAATAATGCCACTTTTATGACTATATCTAGCCTCCGTTCTTAGAATACTTCTATACTGAAGAGGGGAAAATTAAATGAAATCCTGACAAGACTCCTGCTTCAAAGACTTATTCCACGGCTTTTGAAGAGCTAGTAAAATTCTAAGCTCAACTCAGTTTATTCGGCAAAAACAGTTTACATTCTGATGTCAACAAAACTGAAGACAAGACCTGTCACTCTCTTAGGCATTCTCCAAGTGTTTGAGAACTTTTATCATCTGTAAGTGATGCAATCTAATAGTAGTATCTGTACTTATGAGGAGCTGGGCACTGTTATCTTCACATATACCTAATCTTTGTTACTGCTGATTCTGCTCGCCTTGAACTTGTGTATTAATTAGAAGACCCACTGAACTATTTAGTAGTTTTTAATATTAAGAAACTCATGAAATACTTAAAGGAGATCTAAACAGAATTAAAATGATATTTTTAACAATTGGATTTTGGGTTTGGATTCCTTGCTTGCAGCTTAATTGTAAAGCTATACTACTCTTTTCTTAGCTGTAGTTGCCTCATAGTAACTTAGAGGGTCAACTGACACTTGGCCTATAGCACCCCAGAAGGTGAAGTAGATGAGTTCAAGAGAGCTTGTCAAGGCAGTGGTGACTGTAGCAAGCAGAGAAATCAGAAATATGTTCAATATGTGTTCATAAACATACTACTATATACATATACGTTGTTGCTGTTATGTGCTCTGCAATTCTGAGCGGTCCTATCAGGAGTTGGTGCAGCCACGATGAATCATTCAGTCCTTTAGTTGACTTCAGACTTAACACTTCTTCAAAAAAGCACTTTTAACAGGACTATTTCCTTTAATATATATATATTTTTTTGGTGAGGTAATCGGAGCTAAGTGACTTGCCTAGGGTCATACAGCTGGTGAGTATCATGTGTCTGAGGCCAGATTTGAACTCGGGTTCTCCTGACTTCAGGGCCAGTGCTCTATCCATTGTGCCATCTAACTGCCCCTCCTTTAATATTTTACTGAGCTGCTTGCTTCCTCTTCCTCATAATTCTGAGATTCCCCCTGCCTCCATCTCTTATATTTCTCATTTCAGCGTACCAGTATGCCTTTTGGTCTGGACAATTTGTAGCCTGATTAATCTGGCAATGGTAGCTTGGCAAACCTGGGAAATTAGGAAAGATATTAATAATGGATATTAAACATAGGTTTACAAAGAACATTACATGCATCATGTCACTTGATCATCACAACTGTGTAAGTCTGATATTATGCATATCATTACTTCTATTTTACAAATGACAAAACTGAGACCAAGAGAGATTAAGTGACTAACCAAGGATCATACAGCTATGAAGTCTTTGAGGCAGGATTTGAAGTTGTTCTTCCTGACTTTAAGTCTAACAAACTATCCGTTGCCCTATACAGAAATCTTTTCAAAAAGAAAAAATAGAACAGTCCAGAATATAGATTCTTTTCTTCCTTCTAGATAATGCAGACTATGACTCCTTGGTCTTCTTGGGCAGCTAGGTGGCACAGTAGATAAAGCACTTGACTTGGAATCAGAAAGACAGCTTCCTGAATTCAAATTTGGCCCTCAGATACTTACTAGCTGTGTGACTCTGGGCAAGTCACTTAACCCTGTTTGCCTCAATTCCTCATCTGTAAAACAAGCTGGAGAAGGAAATGGCAAAGCACTTCAGTATCTTTGCCAAGAAAAAACTCAAAATGGGGTCACAAAGAAGTGGGCATGATTGAAATGATACAACAACAGCAATCTTGTGCTTCTTGGCTTACATGAGATGTTTACACCTCTCTTGGGTTTATCTGCGGCCCAACAATGCTAAAGGCATACATGACCATGGCCTGGGTATTGCCTTCTTCATTTCCAGGTGACCCAGCCATGGGAACTCAAGGACTTACCTGAGTAGTGCCAAACTCAAATAGAAACGGAAGCCACTACTTCATACAAAAGGAGCCCTGAATTATACATATTGGCTTAGTTTTAAAATGTACCATTATATAATTTTAATTGTATTTTTATTAATTTTATTCAATATTTCCCAATGACATTTTATTTTAATTTGGCCTGGGTCTGTGGGCCGCATGCGATCCATGGGCTGTGTTTTTGACACTTCTGCCTTATATCAACTTATCTGGGCCATGGCCTACCCAAGGCTGGTCATTAGCAGAGAGCAAACTACTTGCTCCTTGTTCACTGAAACCACTCATGGAGCCAGTAGGAGACCAAACTTTCCTCAGCCTTATTCTTACTCAAGTTCACTTTGTTAAGGAACAATTTATTCTAAGAGGATGTAATGAATCAGTGTGGAGTAGTAGAGAGTATGGTGGCTTTGGAATCTGCCAGGACTTAGTTTCAAATTTTGTCTCAGGTCTTTGCAACATATGTGACTATTAAGCTGTGTTAGCTTTGGTTTTCTTTATGTAAGACATAGATACATGTAATACCTGACTTACACAGAGGTGAGAACCAAGTGAAATGATGTTATGTAAATCATACAATAAATACCACTTATCTGTCAATCAGGATGTTTTGCTATTTAATTGCTTCTTAGGGCAGAACACAAGAGCCAGAACCGGTGTAATATAAAGAGCTCTGGAATTGTAGGTTTAAAGAGTTGGCAGGCTTAGTGATCTACAACTCTTTCTATTTATAAATCAAGAAACTGAAGCCCAGAGAGGTCAGGAGACTTCCTGTCTTCTTTTTGTCTTCTTTTTTTCTTTGTTTTTGGACCACTTCAACATTAATGAGAATATGTGTATTTATCACATACTTTAATAATAACCATTTACATTTGCCTGGTCTTTTATGCTTTACAAACATTTTAAAAAATTAATTTAATTTTGTCCTCAAAACAGCTTTGAGGGGAATGAGGTATCTACTCCTAGCTCTGTGACCTTGGACAAGACATACCTTATGTGGGTTTGTTTCCTCATCATTAAAGTGAAACAGTTGTCTGGCTAGTACAATGGAAAGATCATGACTCTGGAGGCAGAGGACCTAGCTGAATCAATCACCAACAAGCTCTGGGGATTCATGCGACCTTGGGTAAATCATCTCCTCTCCCTGAGCCTCTGTTTTCTCACCTATAAAATGAGCAGTTTGGACCTGATAACTTTGCAGATCCATTCCAGCCCTGGATCTTTGAACTTCTGACTCAATGATCTCTAATTTGCCTTCCAATTCCTTATAATTAATAATAATTCATATTTATCTCACATTTTCCTCAAACATCTGGATTCAGAGGACCTGGTTCAAAGACCATTTCTGATCCTTACTATCTATTTGACCTTAGGAAGTCTCCTGACCTCTCTGGGCTTCAGTTTCTTGATCTATAAATAGAAGGGGTTGTAGGTCACTGAGCCTGCCAACTCCCGAAACCTACAATTCCAGGGCTCTTTATCTTACACCAGTGCTGACTTTTGTGTTCCTCCCTAAGAAGATACCCAGTGGGGGAGAAAAATGCTACCACCAAATGTACCAAATAAAAACTGAGAGCCTTCCCCCACTAACATCCCTTGCTTCTACCTTCACATGATTTTCCTAATGATTTAGAAAACGAAAGAATTTCACTTTATGTGAAAAAATGGCAAAGATAAGTCTAGTGATTTAGGATTGAAGGACAATCAGTGGGAAAAAATGTGAATGGGGGGATATTTTTCTGGTTGGTTCCTGGGCATCATCAACGATTTTCTACCTGTGAAAGTTGTTAAATTCATTAGAATAGAATTGGTTTGAGGTGAAAAGGGATGAAATTTGTTAAAAAGGGCAAATAAATAGAGCTAGCATCAGGTTTCTCTGAAGACTTTCCTCTCCACGGTGGTATAGCTAGCTTCCTGAAAACAGCTGGCTTCTGCTGAATGTTTGCTCTCTTTTTAATTGCTCTTTGCCGGTTCTTTCTCTGCAAGGAGGCCCCAGCATGGGAGCTGGCACTGAAGCCCCGCCTCGAGAGGAAGTTACTCTGCCTTCTGCTTGATCACAGACCAGTGCTAGAAGGCATAGGAGCTGAAGAATCTTCCTTTCTAACCTTCATCGCACCCCCCCCCAACATAGATGGAATGCTGATGTACCAGAGTGTAAAGATGGAAAGATGAATACCCAGAGCCCATCAGGGGAATAAAATAACCTAGCCAAGTTTTGAAGATGCTGAGAAAATTAAGAGGAAGGGAGGGAGGGAGAGAGAGAGAGGAGAGAGAGGGAGAGAAGAGAAAGATAAAAAGAGAGAGATTGAGAAAGGGGGAAAAGAGGGAGGGAGAGAGATAAAGAGGGAAAAAGAAGAGGGAGAGAGGGAGGGAAAGAAGGAAAAGAGAAAGGGAGAGAAGAGAAACAAAAGGAAGGGGAGATTGAGAAGGGGGAGAAGGAAAGAGGGAGAGAAAAAAGGAAGAAGAGAGGAGAGGAAGTAGAGAGATTGAGAGAGGAGGGAAGAAGAGAGGGAAAATGGGAGAGAGAAGAAGGAGAGAGGGAGAGAAAGAAGGAAGAGAGAAAGGGAGAGAGGAAAAAGGAAGGGAGGGAGAGAGAGAGTTTGAGAGAGGAGGAAGGAGGGGAGAGAGAGAGAGAGAGAGAGAGAGAGACAGAGAGACAGAGACAGAGAGAGAGACAGAGAGAGAGAGAGAGAGAGAGAGACAGAGAGAGAGAGAATTAGAGCATGTACTCTAAAGGATTTTACATCGTACTGGAAGTTTATACCATCTTGACTCTCCCAAAAGTATTTCACCTATTCACATGGCACACTACCTGAAATCCCATGACCACAGAGATTCATCCCTCTGTTATAAGACAATTATCAGAAGGTATTACATATTAAGCTGTTTTCAGTCAGTTCATGTCGGCTGAATGACTATAGGACCACAGGTTAAAAGCAAGAAGCTATCTGTTTGAATGGTCATCTACTCAAAATCCCCAAATCCTTATTTTGTAGATGAGGAAACTAAGGAACAGAGAGATGGAATGACTTGCCCAAGGTTCCATAGGTGTCAGAACCAGGATTTGAACTGGGATGCTATGACTCCTAATCAAGTATAATTTTCACAACACAAACCTGTTTATTATGTGATGAGGAGGTATTTATTTGGGGAGGGATGGGGGAAAAGGAAGGAAGAAATAATTTAATAATTTTGATACACAAGTCACTACAGGAAGACTAACACAACAAGATCATTTGACTTCTGCCTAAGAGGGAGAGTGGGAGGAGACAGTGTCCAGAAGGGGACCACAGAAGATAAACTCTCTAACTTGCAATTTTGTGTAGGTCAACATAGTACAGTGAGTAGAATACTAATCTAGTCAGGAAATCTAGGTTCTGCTATTAACTAACTAGCTGTGGGATCTGAGGTAAGACATCTCATTGTGAGCCTCATTTTTCTGTTTCTCAAATTGAGGGAATTAGACTGTATGATTTCTCAAATTCTCTTCCAACTCCAGCATTCTAATTCCATGACTAGAGATATGAGAAAGATAAATTCCTAAATCCTTTCACCATTTGAATCCAAATATATTTTTTGGATTGGCCAAGATAATCCAACCTGACGGGTGGTGTATTTTCACAAGTGTTGTCAACAGGACACTTTTCTAATTTGGGATACCATCTCCAATTCTGATACTGACTACTGTATAGTGTGCCATGGTGGAAAGACTTTAGAATCAGATGTCCTGGGTCCTCATCCCCACTCCTTAGTTCTAATGTTTTTCCTCTATTAATTATTTCCTATTTATCTTGTATACAGATTGTTTGTACGTAATTGTTTGTTTATTGTCTAGATTGTGAGCTCCTTGAGAGCAGAGTTTGTTTTTTGCCTTTCTTTCTATCTTTAGCACGTAGCAAGGTGCATGGCCCATAGGAGGTGCTTGATAAGCTTATTGATTTGCTGACTGCCTGAATCTCACTTCTACCACACATTACCTGTGTAATGCTGGACAAATCAATTAAGCTTCTTGGCCCTCAGTTTTTTCACGTGCAAAATGAGGAAGTTAGGCTTTGCTGTATGTAAAGTCCCAACTACCACTCAATCCATAATCTTATGATTCATGTGTTATTGGTGTTTCCTGGCTTGAAGGACTGTCATAATTCAAAACTAGTATATGCACAGAAATAATACATTACCTTTAATCATTCAATCCAAAGGTGAACTAATGAAAAATGAGAGAGAAAAAAAATAGCTCCATGATGCTTGCAAATATCCTAGGGGTTCTAGTCAACTAATGATAGTTAATCATTTTTCCTCCCTTTGCGGTTTTACATTTTATCCTTCCTCTTCTATCCCATAGCTAGCCTCCCTGTAACCATCCAAGCAAAATCAAACCAACACCACACACACACACACACACACACACACACACACACACACACACATACACACACACACACACACCTAAGAATTTAGCTGTCAGTTTAAAACAGTGGAAAATATATGGATGATTTTAAGAGTTTACTAAATTATAGACAGCTGGTTAGAAGTAGTTAATTCAGCATTTAATATGTTAATCTTATGAGTAAATGTTTTGGCAATGAAAGAATCTGATTCAGTAAGTTTTAAATTTACTTATCTTGACTACTAAATGTCAGTAGCCTATAACTTAGATCTCTAGTCATTTGGGTCCCAAAACTGTTTTTGGTTCTAGCCTTCCTTACTTCACACTTGTCCATTCGAGAGGTACCTTCTTTTTCTGCCCAACTTGGAACGTACACCTAGCTCTGCTTACCCCAAGTGACCTGAAAGAGAAACTTAAGAGTTCAAGATCCACTAGATACCCAGATCATGCCTCAGACACTGGTGGAATCTGACATATTATGCAATTAGTTTGGTCTGACTACACTCAATTTGTTAATTAAATATTGATTGATAAATTTATCATCATTAAGAGCTGCCATCACATCTTAGAAATCAAAGGCCACTTTTTCTTTAATATTTAACTTTTTCTGACAAACTAGAATGCCAGGTTGGGAACAAAATCCACAAAGCTTTCACTGGTTCTTTAGCCTTCATTTAACAACAGGGAAATTATCTATCCAAAATTTGTGTGTTTGTATGGTTGAGCAGTAGGGGTGGAGGAAGGCTGTATAAGTGATCTGGTTTGAATAAGCTGTGATTTTCATTTTCCTTCTGTAAGATTTACAGTGGAATTAGTTGAACATTAAAGCACATTTTCAAAGTTTTTGCAAGGATGTGGAAAGGGTTATTATACTTTCCCTTTCGTTTTAGGTGAATGGAACCTTCTTGAGATTGTAGATGTAAAGATATTTTTAAAGAGTCAAACATTCATAGATGATGCTCCTAAAAAATGAATCAGCTCTCACTTGTATTATTCTTTAGTCTACTTAAAGGTCTTAAGGACAGACTAAGAATTGCTCAGGTTTTTAGTTATAGTTATTATTATTATTTTTATTTACCATGAGATTGATTAGCTTGAGGTCCTTGCAAAGGAATTCAGACATTTCATCCTGTGAAGAAACTTGATGCAAATAATAAAGCTACATAGAGCAGGAGGTTGAAAAGAAGTCTAAGGTATTTTACTATGCCTCACACTCAAAGAAAACAGCATGTATTAGTTTGATTGAAGAAAAAAATGAAATTAAATAGTAATAAACACTCAGTATTTCTTTAAAAAAGCAAAAAAATAATCATCCAAAATTCCAATCAATATTGTTTAAGCTTTTCATTTGTAAGAATTTAATGAGCCTAGTTTAATATTCTCTTTTACAATAAAAAGCCAGTCGGCATTTGTGTGTGTGTGTGTATGTGTATAAAACTTTAAAGTGGTCACAGAGAAACATGCATAAATAGAGTTATAGTCCAGAAATTATCAGCTAGAAAGCAGACCTGCAAATAGACAACCTCAATCTTTGTGATTTACCACAAATAGCAAAAGAATTGAACAACCAGAAACCCCCTGAGATCTCTAAACGCAGCCGAGTTACTTACTAGAGTGTCTGGCGTGGAAAGCTTGGTGGTGTTCAGTCCCACTAAGGATGGGAGAGTTTGGGACATCCAGTTAGAGATCATGGCCATGGTGCTGAGGACAGCACCCAGCTTCAGCAGTGGAGGACTCATGGCTGTGGAGCTAATGAGTTTTCATAGTGACTGATTATGATCCTGGTGCGGGGCTGGCAGTGAGAGGCGTGACTGCAGCACTCCACATCTCCAGAATGAAAACAGATTCACTTTCCCAGATCTAATCACCCGGGAAAACACGCCCCCTCACCCCCTAGTAGAGTAGACAGCTTCCTCCCTTTCCTAAGAGAAATTTGGCTTGACCACCAAGCCCCTCTTAATATAGGCTGGTAATTATCAACACTTGGGTGGAGGGAGGAGAAAAAAAATCCCCCAAGCTGTACCATATACTCAGTTCCCAGCAACAGAGTGTGTCCACACTGGGGGTTATATGAATATAATCAGCTGCTCTTTACCCTTAAAAATATCCACCTTTGTGGAAGACTGCCAAAGTGCACATTTCATGCTGCAAACTTAATATCTACATTTTGTCTTTGGGGATATAACAAAAAGCTTTTAGGCAGAGCACAAAAACAAAAGCTGAAAAAATATGTAGGGTACAAGGATGTAGATATTATCTATGTATAGATAGATAGTTTTTTATGAGAATGTAAATTTCTTGCAGCCTTTCCTCTTTTTATTTTTGATTGGCAAAGATGAATATAATAAAATTCAATGCTGACTGGTTAATTTTCTAGCTATGTAAATTGTTTATTTCTATAATACTAATAAAAATAATAGCTATGTATAGGTTGCTCTAGAGAATGGTGGCCCCTGATTAAATATACATTTTCTTTGGAAAAGGTGCCCTAAATTGTTTAATTTGTGTAGTGTCAAGTAATTTATGACATTTGAAGTCAATTTCAATTAATCAGGCCCCAAGCATTTATTAAGCACCTACTACATGCCAGGCACAATGGTAAGAGCTGGGACTACAAAGAAATGAAATTCTTTCCTCTCAAGGACCTTATAGTCTATAGGAGGAGATGGTATATGTGTGTATATAAGTATGCACAAAGTATATAAGTATATACAAAGTAAATATGTGGTTATTTTTGAGGGCGAGGGGTCACTAGCAGCTGAATGATGATGAGAAAAGATTTTATATAAGAGATAGTGTTTGGGCTACCCTTTGGAGAAAAATGGAGGTTTAAGAGTCAGAGATGAATGAGTTCCTATGAGATAACATTTGTAAAGTGCTTAGCATGGTACTGGGCACATTTTATTGTTATGTTTCAGTCTTCTATTCTTTGTAACCACATTTGGGGTTTTCTTGGCAAAAATACTGGAGTGGTTTGCTATTTCTTTCTCTAGATCATTTTACAAATGAGTAAACTGAGGCCAACAAGGTTGAGTGCTTGCCCAGGGTCACACAACTAGTAAGTGTCTAAGGCCAGACTTGTAATAAGGTCTTCCTGACTCTAAGGTCCAGTGGTCTATTTGCTATGCCACCTAACCGCCTCTTTGGCATATAGTAGGTCCTATATAACTGCTTATTCCCTTTCTCCTTCCAAGTATGAGGGAAAACCCGTGCAAATTCCTAAAGATGGAAAGAAGTGAAGTGAGAGGTGAAGTATCAGGAAAAAAAAAAAAAAACAAGAAAGGTGCTTTGGCTAGATTAAAGTGTGCATGAAGGGGGTTAATATATAACATGATAGGTAGATTGGTGTCAGTTTGTGAAAGACTTAAAATTCCAAACTTAAAAGTTTGTATTTGATCCTAGAGCTAATAGGGAACTCCTGAAGTTTACAGAGAAGCAGCATGATGCAGTGAATAGATCCCTGAATTTGGAATCCAGAGACAAGTGGGTTCCTGGCTCAGATATTTACTTTGTGACTTGGGGCAAGTCACCTAAACATCTTAAAGTCTGTTTCCTCATTAATAAAATTAAAACATTAGACTAGATTAAGGATCTCAAACATCTCTCCCAGGTATAAATTCCTATAGTCTAATAGCATTCAGTTCATAGGAACCTAGATTTACAACTGAAGGGTCTTAGAGATCATGTAATCCATCCCCTCTCATTTTACACATAAGGAAACTGAGGCCCAGATAGGTTAAGTGATTTATCAAAAATTACACAGGTAATTGGGCAACTTTGTAGCACATAGATAGTTGGGAGTCAGGAAGATTAATCTTCCTGAGTTCAAATCTGGTCTTACATACTTACTAGCTGTGTAACCCTGGGTAATTCACTTCACCCTATTTGCCTCAGTTTCCTCATCTATAAAATGAGCTAATGAAGGAAATGGGAAACCACTCCAGTATCCGTGCCAAGAAAACTCGAAATGGAGTCACAAAGAGTTGGATATGACTGAAAGTGACTGAACAACAACACACAGGTAATATATAGCAGAACGAGTATCCAAACTCAGATTTCTAGCTTCAAAAATCTAATACTCTTTCTATCATACCACATTGTCCTTTAATGTAATAGCACAATTAGTATATTAGGAACAATGTTGCCAAAAAAACCTTCTTGAAAATATATCATTAAGCCCAAAGCTTGGGCCCCCAATAAAAGCAATTGTACGCCATTTCCCTCCATATGATGTGTATATTTTTAATAAGAATTCAAGCAGGGTACAAAGCATGTATTAATGGTATTCATATGGAAAGGAACCTGGTTACAAGAAGACAGAATATTGTTTTAATCCCAAAGGAATATGCGGCAGTTGTTTGTTTCAGGATTTTGTTGTCAAAGACATAGATTTTTCTTAAGCTGCTCTGGCAGGAGATATGGACAGAAATCTTTGATGAAATTGAAAGGGATACATATTTATAGACGTGTAGGTGCCTCTGACTTTTGTAAACAGAATTAAGCTAGGGTGACTACTGAAATACTTTCAAATCCTCCCCACTTCTACTCAGAATCTAGGATACATCAAACAAAAATCTCCAAAAACACATTAAACTGAATTCAAATGTTCCATTTTTATTTTAAAGCAAAGATGGAAAGAAAGCCAATTATTGATCCTTTCCCCTCAAAAATTCAAGAAACACAGAACTCTGTAAAGATGATGGTATAATCTGATAAGTCTCCTAGACCTTGAAACAAGTAACAGTGCTTTCTTAGAGCTAAATAATGTTTCATTTGTATCCCAGTGAGTTGACAGCTAAGTCAAAAGTGAGTTTCAGAGCCAGAGTGATTAAAAATTACACTTGAAGCTCTACCTGACAATAAAGGAAAAAAAAAAGTCTTTTTGAAAGCTTAATTTCTAAAATTGCAAATGAATACACAAAGCAATTACTGGATAATTTAAGATGCAACAAGGCAGATGGCAATTACACTTATTAATGAACTATCAGTCCAAAAAAGAATAGCTTCTTTACAAGAATATAGTATTGAATGTCAGGGGAAAATAGTGGTATCATTAGCAATGATAAAAACAACAAAAACAAGCAAGAGCTTAGTGGAATGCCATCAAGTTTCACTGAGTTTAAATGGCACCAAAGCAAAGAGAAAAGCCAGTGACCCTAATCTCTGACTGATGCTGATTATGAATGACATAATAACTGGGGTGCAGGTTTGCGCAGTCCAAATGATCTTCTACACCATCCCAATTTGGGACACTTTCTAGCTCTCTGCTTTATTAAGTGGAAGAATTAGAAACTCTCTTCAATTTAGACTGTGTAGATAAGAAACACAGTTAATTCAGGACCATACCACTTCATAATTACCAAAGGTTTTGTCCGGGACCTGAATCAATATGTCCTATTTATTTAGCTACTTCTACATCCATATGTGAAATTTATTTTCCATAAAACTCAATGCCTAGAGAAAACAGCAGACAATTAGCCACTACATCTCATAACTTGGTAAGCCTTTCTCTAAGCTTAAATTATATTAGACATTTATTTTCTTTTTTAGAATCTCTACCCAGATCGATAGACATATAACCTACTATACAACAATGTATTATTGCTCTTAAACTGCTAAAATATATTGATTAATATTTTTAGTCATTAGATTTCTTAGATTAGCCTGTCCTTTTATTACCCCCATAGTTTTTTTTAAATTGTAACTCTCCAATAAATAATTAACAAGCAAATAAAATTGATTGGGAGGGATTAATAGATAAATGCAAATAATATTGGCATATAGCATCACAGGAATTCTATTTCTACTGAATTTGTCACACAATAGAGCAGTACAATCTAATGTTATAATAAACATTTTACAGCAGTTTTTTTTTGTGTGTGTCTATGTGTGTATGTGTTTGAGGGAAATTAGCTCTTAGAACCCTGAAACCTAGACTCTAAAATGTAATAAAGGAATCTAACACATGGAAAATTTACTTGAGAGTTTGCTGAAAGACTACATACCTAACATGTTATAGAGAAGATTCTTGGTCAAGTTCGGGTTGACCTCTGAGTTTGCTCTGTATGCTTGCATGACACTGTTCATTATGGAACCTAAGGTGGCAGAGTGATAGTATTTCCATAGGCATTCACAGAGAGTAGGGCAGGTGTACCCTGTTGTGTTGGCACAGCAGGACCATGATCAATGTATGCCTATAAGTATTACATTCAAATTCTTAGGTAATTTTTCTCTTATCCTCTAATGATCATTCTTATATATTCAAACACTTGGGCTTTGTTAACCAAAAAGGGACTCAGAAAACTAGTAAAATGGGAACCATATCAAAAATGGGGTTAGGATTTATGAAGAGAGTTAAGGTTTAGAATTGGACTAAGCAATGAACCATTTACTGACAGGAGTGATTGACTCAGGGTACAGAATAAGGCATATGGTTTTGGATATGGCCAATGTGGAAATTAATTTTGTTTGCAAATTTTTACAAGGGTTTGTTTTTTTTAAATTTTTTTTCAGCAGGTATGAGAGGTTGGCAGGAGAAAAAACAAATGCTTGACAATTAAAAAAAATTACCTAAGAGACCTTTCACAACTATAACTATGTGTATATCTTTAATGAAACATGGAACAATCGAAATTTGGGCATGAGGAAGGAGAAAAAACAAATGTAGAAAATATTTCTCAAGACAATAAAACAGGTCAAAGGATTGTAGAGAACACTAAAAACTTACACCCATATAACA